GAATCTAGGGCTCGATTGCTTTGCTTTGATGCTACGTGCAGGTTTAAGGACACGCGGATTGAAGCGACTGCCGTGGTGCAGCGTGCGGCTGGCGGATGGGCGGGTCTACATCACCATCAATCGCCACAAGCCCCCAAGACCTCCCCTCAGCACTACGGCAACGTGCACAAGTGACTCTCCTAGCCGCCAAGGCCAATTGCGTCTGCATGAAGATTCCAAGTCCAAAGTTGCGGCAATGGTAAACAGGTGGTTTTAGAGGATGGTGCACTCAAACTCAAAACGGACCTGGTCGTTGACGCTGATCCAGAGGGGTCGCATGGGTGACGCAGAGCCACCTGGTGCCAACCCAATCAGCGCGGTGGCTAAGAGGGTACATACCAATTTCACGCCTGAGAAATGGTAGGTATCATTACCTCATCAAGGGTATACCACGGTAGGTACCTAGATACATACCGATTTCGCGCCTGGAAATCGGTAGGTATCATCCATCACCGCAAGGGGGGCAGTTGGTCAAACACGGTGCAGTCAGCGGCAACACCGCCCCTTGCAGTTCGTGCGCGCCCGTAGATTAGCTACCAAACGAGAATATCGCTCTCTCCATTGAGATGTTCTTAGCGTCTTGCCCAAACAATGAACGACCTTGTTGTTAATCGCATATTGCCTCTCATGGGTCCCTTGGTGTGGATTGCTCCTTGCATCCAGTGACGAACGGGCCAATGAGTGGTGTGGGATCCCGGTCTGGGTAGCCGACTTTCAGCTACCTTACCCACAGGCTGTAGGTAGTGCACTACCCACTAAAGCCCCGAACAGGCACATACCTGGCCGGGCGTGCATCACTTTTGGCACATCAGGTACACCGCGTGTTCTCGGAAGCGACAAGTCGCCCAATTGAACTGCCTTGACAAGTGTCATTGCGCCCTGGGGATTGGCTTTGTCTGGAAAATGCCGAGTACAGATGAACTGGCTCGCTGGCCTTGCAAATCGTTTCGTTTACAGGCGCGTACCTCCGTCTGCAGGTTTTCGTTTGCCGCCCACAACCAATTTAGCAGATGTTGCCCAGCCCGAACCTGAGCAAGGCTTGGGGGAAATGTCACCGGGCGTTGCTGATTGGCTCGCGAGGTGCGAGAACCAACAGTCCTAGACTCCTGGAGTAAGGTACCTGAATTCCAGCATGTACCCAAGAGTACTACGAGACAGCGCACCATACACGAGTGTGGACTGGGTTCAAAACCTTGCAAGATCGCGACAAACTCGGAAGATGGAAATCTGCTCCAGGGACAGGGCCGGAAGCATTTCCCGCTGCTGCATCCCCTCCACAGTCGGGAGCCCAGGCACTGGACCCCTACAAATGGGAAGATACCTCCCGATTTTAGCGCCAAAATCGGGAGGTACCCTCTGTAAGCTCAGCGATGGTGCAGGGGATACCTCCCGATTTCTTGGTGCGAAATCGGGAGGTACCTAGTAGCCCTGTAGCGGGTGGTCCCCGCAAGGTACGTACTGGGTTAGGCGTGCACTCGGACTTTGTCACCATCGGCACCTCGCGATGCCAACCTGGCCTCAGGCGATGCTGACGAAAACAGCAAAAGAGGCCGTCTCTCGGTGAAGCCATTGAGCGGAAGGTTCTCGTTTCAGCGGCTCTATCGACGGTCACCGGTTGAGTGAGTTCATGTACTTACTTCGCTTCAAATAGATCCACGACCCGACTGACACGTTAAGAGCCGGGTGCCTTCCGGGTGCCTTACGGATACCTGGATGGATTGCAAGCGCCAGGCAGTACCCACCGAGCTGCGAGCACCCGAATCAACATTCCCCCTGTCAATGCCTCAGTCATCCCAAATCAAGTTTTCGTCACACCGCCAACAGCAAGGACTGGCGACGCAGCAGACCGCACTGTCGTCCAAACCGGCAAAACCAAGATCAGCCTTGGTCTTCAGCAGCCCCGTGGCCCAAGAGCTCCCTTGGGGCTGCATTGGTGCTGCCTGGTCTGAAGAACGTCGTTGATGTGCATGTCCAAGTGCTGTTCTTGGATCGGCGGTTGTCTTGATCGCATCATGGGTCCACAAAACCACCCGACCAAGGTTCACCTTGACGATGATCTCGTTCTGAGTATCCCAAAGGTCTGTGTCATCTCCTGGGCTTGCTCCCCAAGCCTCAGACGAAAGGCAGCATCAACTCACCTCAGTTCGCAACAGATGGTCCGCGACCTTTTCCAGCGCATTTGTCGGCTATTACCTCGTCCATCCATCCCTTCCAACGTCACGACCGATCCTTGTCGCGTCCTCGTCACCGCATTCCAGCCACAGAGCCCCGCGCGATCACCCCGACGAAAAGCTTGCGAGTCCCAATTCCCAAACTATGGCAGCGCTGCCTATGATATCCAAATCACCTGGCACTACATGCACGGCCGCAGGTCCGCCGGCGCAGGCACCGAATTCCGACAAGCAGCGTCTCGCTCAACACAAAGTCCCTGGTATTGCACACCTGCGAGCCCATACGGATCAACCATGCCGAGCCGTTCAGCCCGAACGGCAGCCCCCTTTGCCAAGAAGAGCAAACCAGCGTTGTTTGCGACGTCGGTCAACGCACACCATGGGCTGGCATTGCGTAGAGATCCAGCTAGAGCTACCCACAAACCCGGTGGATTATTGGCGTATGCTATTCCAGATACCTTTCCCGCCAGGTGGGAGCGCTCTCTGAAGGCCGTGATAGATGAATTTGCTGCCAAGACCAAACTTGGCTGCAGATGCAAGACGTCCCACCAACTTGAGGTCAGATCGATCTAGGCGCATGCTTTCGCGCCGTCGTTGCGTCTGACCATAATTGTGAAGCTCTCCATAGCTGCCGAGAATCATGGTGTCGGCAGAGAAAGTGCGAAGTCGACATCAAGGAGGTCGGGCGCATTTGCAGGGAGCTTGCACATGCGCATGGCGAAGTCTTCAATCGTTCCGCCCATCCCTCGCTGTCTTGGGTGCAATCGTAGCACCCATCCCGGCAGCCTCGCACATTGAAGTTGAAGTAGTTTGGCTAGCTGGTGCTTATCCCACGATCCTTCCATCTAGATAAACCGCCATGTCCACACCTTCGTTTTCTTCCCAAGCCCCTGATCTAGCTGTCCGGGTTGCTTCCGGTGAGCCTGCTCTTGCCCCGCGGCCCTTGGTCGACGACCGCACCTCGCACAGATCCAGCGCAGAGGCTCCACACGTTGGATGCTGCCTGATGGCTGCCAGCGGCACGTCGTAAGGCGAATGCTCAGTGGCAAACTCTGTTGCCCGAATTTACATCAATCGAACGGTTGGTTTGCGAGTCTCGTACAACAAGGCTTTCCGAGTTGCATATCAACGCAATTCCTTCTCACCAGCCCAGCCGGCACGGCCTGCAACATGGGGCATGTAAAAAGCTCTCCAAGCAGAAGATTATTGTCTTGGAAAGCTCACAGCACTTGATCCATCTCCCATGGTGCCTACTCCTACATCTTCCTTCCCGAACGGGTTCCCGCCGCTCGCCGCACCCGGCATAAACAAAAGCTTTCCTACTTCTCCCTGGCGGAACGATCAAGGCGGCGGGCTTCCAGACCTTCACGAAAGCGAGTTTCTGTGCAGCTACCCACATTTTCCTGGGTATGCTGAAGATCAAGGCATGCTGTGACGGGCTGCAGGCGGCAGGGCATGACTCTGGTGGTCAACAGTGTCATGGTCCAGCATGCGTGGCGGCCAAGTTCTCAATGGCCTCTTGGGGACTTCGTGACTCGACGTACTGCGAAGAGGACAGCTAGGAGAGGCCCGTTTGTTAAGAAAACCTATTGGGTGGCGATGGGACGTGAGGAAGGGGTGGGTGCAGCATCAATAATCGGGCCAAAGACTGCAAGGTTCGTAGCTGGTCGGTAAGATGTGTGCCCCTGAAATCTCCCCATTTTTCGGTGTAGGATCGGGAGGTACCTAAGGTATCTACCAATTTTTGGGTGTGGGATCGGGAGGTACCAAAAGGTTCCAGCAAGCAGTCGGCCTGACTAACTGGGAATTGTGCAGTTCCGTGTCGTGCTGGGACGTTTCCCATGAACCTGGAAGGCGTCAGCAATGTCCTTCCTCCCGATTCACTGCTAAGAATCGGGAGGTTTCCACTGTATTTACAGAAGGCATCTCCCGATTTTACCGCTGTAAATCGGGATGTATGTCGGATGTCCCCGACTGGGCAATGCCATGCCGCATACCGGTCCCGTAATAACTACCGATTTTTGGCTGTGAAATCGGGAGGTACGAACTTCATTCTTTGCTACTTCAACCACACTACTGGGTCCTCCATTGTAATACATCTGACTGCCCTCTAAGTACTTCTGGTTCTTCACTTGCCTGACGATAAAAAATGCATGACTCGTCTCGGAGAGAACCATCGCATCCTTTCCGCCAAATGCTTCGGTCGCCCGCCCATACAAATGCAATTGAATGTGGCCGTCTGGCATCGGGGTTCTGCTTCATCACGGGCACGTCATGGGGGGGAGCCCGTGCAACAGAGAAGGGCGCTTTCCCTGCGGTTCACAGTGGTTGCTGGCTGAAGAAGGGTCTCAGGAGGTTCGGGCAGGCACAACCCAGGTGCACTCATTCTCGATAATCTTCAAGCAAGTGTGCGGCCCAAAACGGCAAGCATCGTCACCGCAGTCGGGCAACAACCCACCTGCCACTTCCGTTGCTTCGGCTTTTGACTTCGCAGGTTTTCTTGGGCAGCCGTTCCAGAAAATTTCGCATCAGGAGCTCGACTGTACTGTCTGCAAGAACGATCCAGCCAAACTCGTTTCGTACCTCGCTTTTCTTTCGAACAGCCTTTTTTTCTCCACCTCCTCCCACAAGCCGGTCTCAATTCCAACCTCTTTCAGTCTGCTTGGTCGGCGGCTCTTCTACTGCTCGACATCTCGTCGGCTGATCTCTGGCCATCGAGACCGTCAATTTCGTCAATCCCGCCCACGATATCGACATCTTCCATCCCGACAGAACCGAACCACAACGATCATGGATGATTGTCGCCCAACCAAGCGCCGGCGAGAGAGTGTTTCCGATGCCGACCTTGGGAAGCCCGAGGCCACTGCGTCCAATTCCAAGGGTTGCTCGAAGAAGCTCGCAGGGCAGATTGATGAATACCATCGCGCGCACGACAACGTCCTGCGCAAGGTCACGTTGCTTCAACGTAACATCACCACGACCACCGGCAAGATACGCTCATCCCTCGTGCATGCTGTTGACTTGCATAACCAACTGGCCGAATGGCTGCAGTCACATGGCGAGCTTCTCAGCTCCCGATGCTGCAAGTGCGATGACCCCCAGTTCCGGTATCTGTTCGCCGACTGCAAGCATGTACGTTTTGCCCACACTGCTTTGTTGACTTTACTAATATGCCGTTTCAAGAAAGCTTGCGAAGCCTGCGTATCGGTCTCCGGCCGCTGCTGCGACACGAGCCAACACATTCTAAGGGTTTTCTTCGAGCCGTGTCCCATTTGCTTGAGCTCAGGCGCCGGCAACGACATGGTAGTGTTCACTTGTGGTAAGGGAAATTGGTCATGATTGCCTTCGACGGACCAAGCTGACATCTCTCGTGACCAGGCCATGTCGCATGCAAAGTATGCTTCGACGAACTGCCTTTGGAAATCAAGCCAACTTGTATCATTTGTCGAACCTCGATCGGTCGGGACCCTATCTGCTCGTACAAGTAGGCAACAACATGCTGGCGAACTCCATTTTTCCCATCTCTTCGTGGCAGGGGTCTCGAGATCGGCCGGTCCTGCAACACATCACCGTTTGGGAACCATACCTCCGCTTCGAGGCACACCATGTCTAGTAGTTCGAGTTTCCCCTACATTGTTTGCGCGTCTATATGTTACGATAGTTCTGAGGCATTCACACGGTTACTTGGGGACTGAGAGAACATGGAAGAAAGAAGGTAGCAGAATTTGAGCGTCGACTGTCATATCCTACGTAACTCTTGCGAGACCTAGACTGCCAGATGAGCCCGTCGAAAATACAATCGAATATTTCTACAAGGGCCATCAGACGAGCAGAAATTCCCCGCTTTCAACATCTTCGCTAGTGCAGGTCGAGTCTTGAGGACCCTGGGCACCACTGTGTCAATTGGATGTGTCAAAAGAAATCCTACGGACGCCAGTGTTCTGCAAAAGAATCTGGGTGCTCAAGAATGAGAGCAACCCAAAGGGGTCGTTTTCGACATTCCGTTGTCTTTGTCGTGTCCCTACTACGCAGTGGGCCAGCATCGATACCCACCGATTGCCCGGTGTGGAATCGGTAGGTATGGAACTTGCTTCAGTGGACTGTCCCCTGTAGCGTTGGCGGAGTTGTATTGATACCTCCCGATTTTTCGGTGTAGAATCGGTAGGTACCAACTTGCTCCAGTGGACCGTCCCCTGTAAGGTACCTGTGGGGACCTTGGTAGGTGGAATTACTGCCATCCATCCAATGCCAGACTCAGTCACTGCCAGACGACCGATTCAGTCGTTGCCTTGCGCTCCCGATTCTCCTTGGGGATGCGCACCGTCGGGAATCTTTTTCTGGATTTGGCGACATCTCCAGATTGAACGTGGAGATACGGTGCACGTAGCAGGTCGAGCAGTCGTTTGTTGCGCCACCGATCACGGGCTTGCGGAAGAGTGACCATCCATCGGGGGCCGCCAGGAAAGCCGCGACTGCTTGGCTTTGATGGGGGAGTGTGGTTACGTTTCTCTTTGGCTCAAGATATGGCTTCACAGGGCAATTCAATTCTGTGGTACTTACTGTTCGGCCAGCGCGTGCTCTTTCGTGCAAGTGTTTGGGTACCTAGATGAAACTCCGAATCAGCGGCCACAAGAAGACTGCCCGCACCGATGGGAAACACAGGGGGGAGGGGCACCTCCCCTGCCTGCTCCTAGTGGCGCATCCCCTGTGAGTGCGAGCACTCCGCTACCTAGAGGACAGTGGGTAGCTGAACGTCAGCTACCTTAGGTACCCACACCACGACCTCCGGTCTGATTGACTCCCCGCTGACAGACAGGAGACGCAAAGGTGCCTCGGTCCCTGCGCATGCGCTGTCACAGTCACATTCCACCGACGCCTCCATCCCGAGTGCTTTTTCAGCCTTCGTGCGTCGCCTGCACCATGCAGCCTGGTTCAACCCGTCTCAACCCCCCAGGGACCCAAGGTGTGCCATCCGAAGCCATATCAGCTGGGGCAAAGGTCGTGCTCAGGTCGGACATGTTGGATGCATGTCCCCGGACGAGTCGGTCTGAGCTTCCAGCCACCACCATTGCGAGCGCGGGTCGGGCCGGCCCGCGGAGGCGTCACGTTCTCCGCCTCTCTTTTCCCTCCTAGGTACCTCGATACTTTTTGTACAGCAGGTTACCACCTGCAGCCACACCTTGTTGACTGCCGCACTCACAGAAATCTACTTGCTCCCGCCAGCACGTTCAGGCACACCCTTCCCGCCTTGGGCAATCCAATAAGTGCCACCTTTTAGGGGTCCTGAGACCAATCAAGGTGTCACCTTGACGGACTGGCAAACTTTGGGTTCCCCAAGGAACGGCGAAAGCTTGCCACACCCTGTCATTTTCGGAATCATCGCAGCAGTGACACGATTGGCCTCCCATTTCTTCCTCTCTCATTTGTGCATGGACAGGGTGCAAGGCGATCATGTCACACGCCTTGAGGTATGAGGCCATTTGCAAGGACAAGACGCAGCGACAGGCTCGGACATGTCTCAAGAACCTTCAAGGTCAATCACAGAGGAACCTTCGCCCATGACCTTTGGAGCGTTGCACTCCGGTATAAGTTATCAAAATATTCCAAGCGTTGAATGTTTTCCATTACTTAGCATCTCACAATTCATCACAAAATCGGGCAGCGGTAATTGTCAACCACACACAAACATGACGAAGATTCTCAGAAAGCAACACGAGTCAGAAGGCAGTGGCAATGGGTCCTCTCCCCCAAAGCGCTCCCGTTCGTCTCCAAATGCCACCGCGCCGCGAACTCTGTCCCTCGCCAGTGATACTCCTCACCTTGCGAGGGTCAATCACACGCCTGTGCAGCCACCACCCACAGCCAACTGGGAAATGACCACGACAACTCATCCCTAGGGGGGGATAGGGTCTGCATCACTCGGTCAGCCGCAACAGCCATCAGCACCCTCTAATCAGAATGGCCATTCGGCTAGGCAGCCCCAGGCGTCCCTAGACCTCAGTGGCGACTACCGCGGCTATAGGGACATCTTCCCGCCACGGGACCATAGACATACTCAGACGGCTGCGCAACCCCAGGGGTCAGCACCCTCTAATGGGAATGATCATTCGGCTGTCCAGGAGACACATCCGCCGGGGAACAGGAGATCTGAGTCGCTCAATCATCCTCAACAGACGTCGCGAACCTCGAATACTGACAATCTCGGCTATGGGGGCACGTCTTTACCGCAGGCTCGTCCCAACAATCGTACGGCTGGCCAGCCCCAGGGGTCCCTAATCTTGAGTAACGACATTCTCCGCTGCAGTGACATCTCTTCACCACGGGGTCATAGAAATACTCAGACGGCTGCGCAACCCGAGGCATCGGCCATGTCAGTTACCGCTTCAGCAGGACCCCGGAACTCCAGCCAGACCATCGGCCCATCTCAGGCATCCTCAACCGAGGCTCCCACCCAGCTTCAGACCCAGCTTCAGAACCAGCTTCAGACCCAGCTTCAGACCCAGCTTCAAAATAACCGTTCCAATACATCTTCGCAAAGTACCCAACGCATACCCAAATCACGCCTTCACGTTTGTCCCCAGTGCTCTAAAGCCTTCACAAGAAACTATGATCTAAATCGGCATCAAAACACGCACCTGCGCTCGCGCTCATCAACCGGAGGGATTCCATGTCAGAGCTGCGACAAGCGATTTTCTCGGAAAGACGCGGTGAAGGTACGAAACGTCCCACTTTGTCTCCGTGGCTTACCGAGAAGGAACCCAGCTTACAAATACCGCAGAGACATCGTTCGACCACAGGATGTGGGTCTAAAAAGAAAACGAGCGTGAGAGGGAAGGATGAGAATGAGGGAGAGGAGGATGAGAACGAGGAGGGAGAGATGGATGAGGATGACGAGGCTTAGGTACAGGTTCAGAGGAGTATCACGCAGCCCGCCTCCTTCTAATAGAGCATGAGATACATGGTAGTTTCGAAGAGGGTGAAGAAACCAGGGCTGTGCAAGACCGTACGTTGAAGTTTATAATTAGCAGTCTGGGGACTCCAGCATTTGTATACGAGGAAAGGAGGAAGCAAAGTTCGCAATGAGTGTATCGTTAGGTTTGCTCTGAAATTGAAATGAGGCGCCATGCACCCTTTGGCGTGCACACGTCCAGCTTATTATCAATTTGTTGAAGGTGTATCGAACCATGAACCGAACAATAACAACGGCAAGCCATCGCCTCACTTAGTATTCTCTTGAGCGCGTGCCAGCACCGAAACTAACATATCTGCAGATCCAACCACGTCCCACGCCAGGCTTCAAGCTTTTGGGCTCTTTCGCAATCCCAGGAATGCTCATCCCCATGAGACAAATACCTCTTGAGCCGCATCATCCTTTGGCATTGCAATTGGCGAATGGATGGCAGAAACAGAAGTGTGAGTCCTCGGTATCAAGATCGGAACGTCTGGCCCCGGCTGAAATGCCTTTGGAGCCTCAAGTCCGCCAGAGTATCTTGCACGGAATCAGGATGTCTTGTTTGAACGCGGCAAAGCGGGCGAAAGGTAGAACCGGCCGTGGAAAAGACTGAGGCCGACATATCTAAGCGATACTCGTCATTCATAGAAACAATTTGATGAGTCGCATGGGCTTCTGCTGACGATGGGCCAGCGCAAGCAGGCACTTATGTACGAATGGGAAGAAACGACAACTGAACTGAGAAGGGCGAGATGAATGCCAAGAATATTTCACCATATTTTGCTGCATCATTCCAAGAAAAGACGCTTTAGTAAACGGCACTCTCGAAGGGTACTGATCTCGAGAGAATCTATCAAAGAGCCAGCTCGTGGGGAAGAGTTCTATGACACGGAACGAAACAGCTCTTGGACAGCTTTTGGAGGCAGAGTGACAGCAGCCTGGTACAAACACAACTTCCACCCGAGGCCACGAGGACGAAGGGTTTGGCATGGCGGTTAGCCCCATTTGGTGCAGTCACGTCCGGGGTTCGCATGAGCATTTGGGGCATTGAAGGAGGTGAAATGGCGTTCGTGAACGGCTAGCAGTGTCCGGAAAGTCCGGAAATCCACTGCTGCAAGCAGGGCCGTTGGCGACGGTGCCGGCATAATATCTTGGGAATGAAGTCCACCGAGCATGGTGACAAAGGTTGTGGCGACGACGGAGTACTGTTGGTGGTATTGGAAGAAGACGATGCTCGGAGCTGGTGACGCGAATTTTGAGGCGGACTTGGCGGAAGAAGACTAGTCTGTCATGAA